TCTCTCCTGTGTGGGTTTTCTCATGTGCAACAAGCTCTAATTTACGGACGAAACATTTTCCACATTCAGAACATGAGAACGGTTTCTCTCCTGTGTGGATTCTTTGATGTTGAACAACACATGATTTACTTACAAAACATTTTCCACATACAGAACATGAGTAAGGTTTCTCTCCTGTGTGGGTTCTTTGATGTATTACAAGATGTGAATGCTGAGTGAAACATCTTTCACATTCAGAACATGAGAAAGGCTTCTCTCCTGTATGAGTTCTCTGATGTGTAATAAGCTCCATTTTAGTTGCAAAACATTTTCCACATTCAGAACATGAGAACGGTTTCTCTCCTGTGTGGGTTCTCTGATGATTAATAAGACTTGGTTTGTTAACAAAACATTTTTCACATTCAGAACATGAGAACGGTTTCTCCCCTGTGTGGATTTTCTGATGTTTAAGAAGCTTTGTTCGAACACTAAAACTTTTCCTACATTCAGAACATGAGTATGGTTTCTCTCCTGTGTGGGTTCTGCGATGTTTAATAAGATGTGAGAGCTGTGCAAAACATTTTGCACATTCAGAACATGAGAAAGGTTTCTCTCCCGTATGGGTTCTCAGATGTATAACGAGTTCCGATTTACCCACAAATCTTTTCCCACATTCAGAACATGAGAAGGGTTTCTCTCCTGTGTGGGTTTTCTGATTATGTCTATTAAGACTTGGTTTACTAGTAAAACTTTTCCCACATTCAGAACATGAGTAAGGTTTCTCTCCTGTGTGGGTTTTCTGATGGATCACAAGATGCGGGTGCCGGCTAAAACATTTTCCACATTCAGAACATGGATAAGGTTTCTCTCCTGAGTGGGATCTCTGATGGATCACAAGTTGTGAGTGATGGCAAAAGGACTTTCCACAGTCAGAGCATACAAAACTTTTTTCTCCTGTGTGACTCCTGAGATGGACAACGCATTGTGAATATGAGCGAAAACATTTCCCACATTGTGAACATGGGAACGGTTTTGTTTTGTTTGTTACAATCTCATTTGTAGACATATTGGATTCTGAGAAGTTCCTTGACATTTGAGAGTTGGAATTTTTGGTCGTTTTAGTGATAGATTTCTTTATAGTCTTGCATGGTGTATTTTTGTTCTTGTCAAATTTTAGGATAACGTCTGCTGACAGAAACACCTGCAAGAAATGTGAATTAAAGAAAAATTTTAACTATAAAATATTTATGGTTTACAATACTTAGAAAACCTGACACTTTTGTGAATGAAAAAATATGTCCATGAAATATCATGGTGATTAGGAAAGACATTAAAAAATATTTTTTGTGCTTTAACCACTTCAATATCAAAATTTTGTATATAGGGGAGTGGCAAGAAGCCTTGTGAGAGCTCTGCTGCACGGGGCCCGTATTTTATCGTAACTATTAGGGATTGACCGATTATCAGTCTAGCCGATATTCAGTATTTTCGGCAAATAGAGATACCGATATTGACGATAATACATACCAGTAACGCTAGGCCCATTACAAGCCCGGCGGGTCCTGGAGTCCTTGGTTCCAGACGTTCAACAGCAAAACCACACTAGCTGCGTTGGGATAAACAAAATGTCGTGTATACCAGGGGTCCTCAAACTTTTTAAACAGGGGGCCAGTTCACGGTCCCTCAGACACTGTTTGGGGCCGGACAATATAAACGCATTCCTCTGTACACTGCACGCATATGCAAAGGACATAAATACACACACATATTGACATACATACATAATGACACATAAATATACACATATATACATACACACACACATACATATACACACACACACATAATATATATATATATATATATATATATATATATATCTATATCTATATATATCTATATCAAGGGGGGGGGGGTGGCTGCACTCA